GCTTCGCGTCGGTGCCCGCGTTTAAACTAAGCCGGTGGCGACGGTCGCGAAGAAGCAGGTGGAGCCTTCTGAGCTGGAGAAGAGAGCATTTTGGACGCCTCGCGCGGCCCCAGAGCTTGGGGGCCACCCGCCGGCGCTACTTCTCGCTTCTGTGTGGTAATCACACCGTTCCGGATTGCGTTCTGGGAGATTGCGTTCTTCCACTTGCCTGGATCCGAGAGGGCAAGTGGAAGAAGCTCGAGTGTCCCCAACTTACGGAGAATATTGAGAGGTGGTAGAAGTTCTAATTAATGGAGCGAGTGGACAAGGCCAGTTATTCCTCGCTCGAATATTGTTGGAAGGCCGGGAATTTAGCTCAGTGGTTCCGCCGCCTACCTCGCAAGCACAAAGACCCGAGTTCCATCCCCCCACAAAATCAAATATTGTTGGAACCCACATTGACTTGAACATGTTTAGAACCTCCTCAAAACAATTTATTTCACTTTAATTCCTTTTTCTTTTTCTTTTTTCGAGATAAAGTCTTGCCGTATAGTTCGAGCTGGTCTTCAACTCAAAATGTAGCCCGGGCTGGCCCCGAAATTGTGGAAATCCTCCTGCCTCGGCCTCCTGAGTGCTGGGCGCCACTGTACCCAGTGTCACTTTAAATTTTAGACTGGGCTCGTTTATCGCTTCTGGAAAGTTTGCTTTAAAATTAAACAAACATGGGCTGGGGATTTGGCTCAGTGGTTCCACTGCCTGCCTCACAAATGCAAGGGCCTGAGTTCAATCTCCAGTACCAAATAAATAGATAAAGTTAAACAAACATGATGAGGTGCCTAAAATGTATGAAATTGCTTTAAAACAATTGCTGATGATTTTATGAGCAGTTTTGAACAGAGTTCCTAATCACTTACTAGTACTCTCGGTCACAAAGATTGCTGTGTAAATAAAGGGACTGGAATGGAGGGTCCAGAAATCAACCCTATTGTCTTGGGTCAAACGATTTTCACAAGCTTGCCAAGGCAGTTACATGATGGAAGAATATTCTTTTCAACAAATGGTTTTAGACGACTATTTACATGCAAAGAATGAAATTGGACCCCTTTCACACTATACACAAAAATTAATTCAAGATGGATCAGAGACCAAAAGGTAAGAGGTCAAACTATGAAACCTTTCGAAGAAAACATAGGAATAAGTCTTCATGATCTTGAGTTAGGTGATGAATTCTTAGCTATGGTACCAAAAAGTAAAAGTGACTATAGAAATAATAAAATTGTATTTCACCAGAAATTAAAAGCTTTTAGCCTCGGGTAATGGCACATACCTGTAGGACCAGCTGCTGCGGTGGCTGAAGCCAGAGGATCACTGGAGCCCAGGAGTTCATGGCCAGACTGGGCACCATAATGAAATTTCATCTAAAAGAGAACAAAAAAAAATAATAATTTCTGATTCAAAGGACTACATCAAGAGAGTAAAATGACCTGGGTTTAATTCCCAGAGCCACAAGAAAAAAATGGAAAGAAAATGAAAGGAGGGCTGGGATTGGCCCAGTGGTAGAGCATGTCCTTAGCATGCACCAGGCCCCAAATTTTATCCCCAGCTCCCTTTGCTTCCAAAGTTGAAAAATAGCCCATAGGAGAGCCAGAGATTTAGCTCAGTGCTTCTGCCTCCTGCTTGGAAAGCGCAAAGTCCCAAGTTTGATTCCCCAGCACCAAAAAAACAAACAAACAAAAACAGCTCATAGGAGACAAAAATTTAAGTCAAACACCTGAACCAGCTCATCTATTTCCATCTCTATTTGCAGAAGAATCTTCTCCACATTCTCCTTTGGCCTATTGAATAAACCCATAGTTATGTTGTGAAAATAAACAATGTCATTTTAGAAAAGCAGTTGGTGGCATTGATTGCCTTTTTTATATCAAGAAAAGGATAAGGCTCAGATTGTATCATTTTACCCTTCCAGCTTTGACATCTTAGGATCCTTCACATATTTCTCAGAAAAATTCTAGACTGTATTAGGTACTACTATTTTCCGTCACGTATCCAATTTTATTGATTTGTTAGACAAATCACACTGGGCAATAGTTGGAAATGGAACATCCTCTGTTTCAGGGTGGGTATTTCTGGCAATGGAAGCACCGTAGTGCTCTTTCCCTAGACAACCTGGAAAACACCTCTGGCCACAGGTCTTCCTTGCTGAGCTCAGAGCTGGAGTCAAAATCCTTCTCAGAACCTGTGACTGGATAAACAAGGTATATTCATGCAATGAAATATTACTCAGCCACAAAAGAAATGAAGTACTGGCACATGCCACAATAAAGAGGATTCCTGACGATACGACTGGTTCTATGACTCATGTTGGCTTTTTTCCAACAGCAGAGACAAGAGCAGTACTCATTACACCTGGGAGAATTTCATCAGAGGTCCTCACCCTTCTTAAAAGAGACATTGTTTGCATTGTGCTGCAGTCATTTTTCTAACTTGTCAGTTTGTCTTTCCATCCACATTGTTGGAAAGTTTTCTCATGATTCTTGGTGCATTCCTATGTGACTTATAAGTATAGTTTGAATTATTGTTCCTATAACAGGTTAATTATGAAGTTGCCTGTAATTTAATTTGCAAATATCCTAAGTTAAATAGAATGCTCATATGAATTTTTACTACCTTGCTGTCCACTGAGTTTCACTGCTATTTAACTACCGATATTATATAACATTTATACAAAACATACAGGTTAGGAGTTATTCTATAACTAATGAGCCAACAGTCATACTTAGTTTGACCTGTGCTATGAATGCACTCATGATATGTAAGTTTATACCTGCTGCCTTGATTTTCATATTTACAGTATTCATGGTTCCAAACGCCATGGTCTTTCATTTTGTTACAGTCTCTTTTTTGAGGGTATGCGATATGATCAATGGTTACAGTGAATGTTTAATTTTAAATGTATTATAATAAAAGACACATCACCACTAACCCCCCTCAGTTCAAATACAGTTGTCCCACTGTTCTTGACACTTTCTGAAACAGCTCTGGAAGCCTGCTTCTGTGAGTGTCTAGTTGAGCTGTTGTGGCCACCTTGATGTACTGGCTTGATTCAAAACATTTACCTTTCATGGCTTTTGACTGTGGGGAGGTGGCAGAAGGTGCATGGCACCAGATCTGGTGAATAAAGTGGATGAGGACACACCATAGTGTTTTAACAAACCTGCCTTTCTGTTGGACGGCATGCAGCAGCAATGTTCACCATATTTTTTATCACACGAAAGACGACTTCCAGGAGTATTTCAGAAGGTGGTAAGAACAATGGGACAAGTATACTCAAAACAAAGGGGAATATTTTGAAGCGGATTAATGCCAATATATCTTTTACAGTAATTAGTTTATATTTTAAAACACATTGTATTTTGTTATCAGCCCTTATAAATTGCTCTTTGCATTCTGATTTTACCTGGAAATGAATGAAGTCCCTGATGGCACTGGCTACAGCCTCCTCCTCGCCTGATTCTTGGAGCATGAACACATCAACTTCAGTCAGAACATTCGGTGGCTATTTTTCTTTCTTTCAGAAGACAACAACCCCTGCTAGGAGATAACACTGGGTCTCCACTGGGTCTCACCAATGAATGGGCCCAGAGTGACATAAATTACTCTTGCTTTTCTTCCTCTTTCTTTCTCTTCTTCTGTACATGATGATAAGGCCTAGGGAAAGGCCAAGCTGGAAGAAGGGTGCACAGACCTTTTAAAGAGGACAGCAGCCTGTAAACTTGGATCACTGCCCCCTGGCCTGGGAGGTGTGAATGTGTGAAGCCAGTGAAATGATGAGGTTCATTTATCACCTTCTAGCCTTGCCTTCCCCAACGCATGCAAGCAAGGTGGCCCTCAGAGGTTAAGTCAGTATAGAAATTAAAGAAAATATCATTGAGCATTATTCGTGAGCAAAAGAAAGGGAGATAATGGAGATACAAAATGTGGGTTTGTTGTTTGAATTAGTTCCTCCTCTAGGAACTGCATGTTCTCTAGATGAATATTTATTCACTGAATACCACCTGGAGGAACCAGTTCAGGCAGGGAGCTTGTCTTTCCACTCTCAAGTCTTCTGTCAGATTTTCAACTGAGATTACCAAGGAGATCACCACGTTCTTTTGAACTGGAAATGTGGGGTGCATGATGCACCCATTAAGAGTTGAGCCTTGGAGACAAACCAACCTGTATGTGAAACCATTGACTGTTGAGGAGCTTGGGCCTGAACTCCCAGGAACAGTAGCTGAGAGCCGGCTATGTGATGGACCTGAAGAGAAGGGCTCCCAGCACTGAGCCCCAGATGCCAAGCACAGGCCATTGAACAAGAAACTCGACTCTTCTGAAACTTCTGCCACCAGCCCCAAAGCTACCACTGACCCAGATCTGACCTTTACGGCTCCATTTCTGTTTTTGTTTTT